CAAGCTGTTTGCTGGTTATGCTCAGACTCACTAACTCCAGTAAAGCTCACAAATCTGCCTATTATACATTTTTCATGGCACAAATCTGATCACTGAGCATTATTTCTGTGTGTGACTCGTCTTGTCACATGTTAGGCATTTTCTTGTATGTGCATCAGACTTCCTGTCGATAAACAGACTGATTGGCACTGCAGAAAATCTTTTTAAATAGAATTTCAAATGTTATCTGGAGCTTGAAAACAGTATTTGTAGTGAAGGTCTTTAAAATAAAGAAATACTTTTAAGAACATTAGGCTTAGATGTTTTTTTAATTGTGAAATCGCCAAGGAATGTGAACCATTAGTAAAAATGGAAGAATACCAAAACAGGATTGCATTAATTTTCTTCTGCTTGTTTTCCTCTTAACCCAGATGACCTCTGAGGTGTTCACTAATGCCAAAACTAATTGAGCTAAGTAGCTTTGAAGCATTGGTCAGCAAGCACTCAAATTAATCCGCTGTTCCTTGTAGCAATAGCATTTTGGTGAGCATGTGAAGAATTTAGTTTGGTGCTATTTGTACTGTACATGGAATTGTCACATGTTACCACAGTAATAAAAAGGTTTTTATAAACTTTGTGAGGCAAAAATAGTTTACTCCAATTCTTCTAATCACTAACTCTTTGTTCATAAATGTAAATTATGTATAGTCAGTCCTACTTGGCACATAACTGAACTGGTTTGAAAACGAGTCAACGTGGACCTGTAACTATATTACTGGCATGTGACAATAATCGGCAACAGTTTAATTAAAAACAAATTTAAAAAGAGCTTTATTCAGTGGACTTTGCCTAGGTGTACAGTTCCCCAAGAGATATACTGTATACAAGGAGGAATCTGGGAGAATAAACATCTTCTGCCCTGCAGGACTAATCATTCCCTCAGTCCAAAGTAGGGTATACACGGTTTGAATTTCGTACAAAAGTAGTCTTTTTCAGAACGTTTGTTCATACGCCTATCAATTAGTATGGTGCAATCAGCAGATGAAAACGACAGTGTTCCTGAAAATGTTTGAAGGAGCATGTTGGAAATTGTTTTTCGATCGAACGAATTTCTGTGCTTTTCGTTAGGATACCCCATTAATTTCAAAACAGAATGCAAAAAAAAAAATGAAAATTAAACGAAATTTCGAACAACAATCTTAAAGTTTCTGATGCCAGTATAGAACGTTCTGATGGTATCTTACGTATGAACGTTCGTGCAAAAATCTACCCATGTATACCCTACTTTATGTCTCCATTGATCACTGAGGGTGTATATTGTACTCATAACACTGTAGCAGCTCACAAGGTAGAGAGGCTGCAGCATGAGGATGATCTGGGCAAAATAAAGTTTTCTGCAAAATACAAGGTGTTGACTGGTGTCAGAGCTTGCAGGGAGCAATCATGTCATCCTCTTTTTCATTTTACAGTGAACAAGCTTAGCAGTTGGCCACTAGGCTCAAGTGCTGCATTGTGGAAAGGTGTCACATGCCTCTCCAGTTGAAGAATGGGGAGGGGGGGCACTGTGAAGGTAAGTATAACTGGGCCAGGAGAGGAAAGGGGGGAGGGCTTTAAAGAGATCCTGTAATTTTAACCTGATGGAGCAAAGTGACTGGTTCTCTTTAAAGCTCATGAGATTTTTTTTATTGGGTTAATATACATTTTAACAATAAAAATATCTAATGCTAAATCCTCTTAAAAATGCGAATTTCCCATTATGTAGTTGTTACTTTTTACAGTCTACTTTTCCATACTAAAGGTTTCAAATCCTTTTTACCTTTAATTTGTTATTTTAAAGGGTTATTTTATAATTTATCACAAATATTGTAATTGAACAGAAATAGAAAATGTCAGGTGGAAAATAGCATCTCCACCCTTTTCAGGTTCACTTTACATAGTTCCATAGTTGCATAGTATTTGAGGTTGAATAAAGACATAAGTCCATCAAGTCCAACCTATTGTGTGTATGCATTTATGTTTGAGCAGGTGTGTGCATTTATGTTTGAGCAGGTGTGTGCATGTGTATTAGTCCATGTGTGATTTTGCTCTTAAGCGTACCTGTACCCCTGTATATTATGGTCTCCGAAGAACTCGTCCAGGAGTTTCTTGAATGATTCCACACTCTTAGCTGAAATCACTTCCTGCGGCAGCGAGTTCCAGACCTTAACCGCTCTAAGCCCTCGTTCACACCTGAACGTTTTTTAGCGCGTTCTACGCTCGACGAACGCTCTACAAAACGCTCAAAAATATAAATCCCATTGTAGTCAATGGTCTCGTTCCCACCTTGGCGTATTTTCGCCCGTCCCTAACGCGCTACAAAACGGCCCAACCCTGAAAAGGTACAGGTACTACTTTGGGCTGTTTTGTTGCGCGTTTCCATTGGGATACAGCCAAGTAGCCTTCGGAAACGCGCAACAGTAGCGCAACTTTTTTACCGCGGATCGCGGTAAAAAAAACGCGTGACGGTCGCGCATATGCAATACGCCTAGGTGTGAACGAGACCTTACTGTGAAGAACCCCTTGCGCCCTGAGTGTTGAAATTTTTTTTTTCCACCAATTTTTGGTTGTGCCCTCTGGTCTTTGTTACAGAGCTAACCGTAAACAGTTTGTTAATAATGTTGTTGTCGCCCTTGAATAGTTTATACAGAAAAATCATTTCCCCTCTTAATCTCCTAACCTCCAAAGAGAACATATTGAATTTTAACAACCTTGTTTCATAGTTCAGGTCCTCAAACTCCTTAACGAGTTTGGTTGCCCTCCTCTGGACTTTTTCCAGCTCAAGGACATCTTTTCTGAGTATCGGTGACCAAAACTGGACCGCATACTCCAGATGTGGCCGAACCAGTGATCTGTAAAGTGGCAAAATTATAGACTTGTCACTGCATTACATTCCCTTCTTAATGCAAGACAGGACTCTGCTAGCTTTGTTTACAGCAGTCTGGCACTGCGAGCTGTTCTTCAATCTGCGGTCTATAATGACCCCCAAATCTTTCTCAGTTTCCGACTTCCCTAGTGGCACACCCATAAGTGTATAGTCCATTTGCCTATTTTTAACTCCAAGGTGCATTACCTTATATTTATCGACATTGAACTTCATCTGCCATACAGTTGCCCACTCCACGATTTTATCCAGGTCCTCCTGTAATGTTATAATGTCTAAATCTGTGTCTATTACCCTCCCAATTTTCGTATCATCAGCAAACACTGAGACATGGCTACTCACTCCCTCCCCGATATCATTAATAAATCCCCTCCGTTTTATACTTACTAAATGCTACTTTTTTTTCCTTAATGTGTTGTTTTACCGTTTTATTTAGCCATATTGGCTTTGTTTTTGATCTTTGATGTTCCCCAGCGGTATACACCTGGTAACAGTCCCACTTTTGGTCAAAGTTTAGTTTATCAAATAAGTTTTCCCATTCGATTTCACCCACTATATTGCGTAGTTTATCAAAGTTAGCCTTCCTGAAGTTTAGGCTTCTCGTCCGCCCATCCCCCTTCCCTTTCTTGCACCCAATATTAAAAGCAATCACCTTGTGATCACTATTACCCAGTGTCTCCCCTATTACAATATCCTCAATTAACTCCGTATTATTGCTGATGATCAGATCTAGGATTGCATTTTCCCTGGTCGGAACCTCAACCATCTGATCCATGAAATTGTCTCGCAACATATTAAGAAAACGTGCTGCCCTTGCCGATTTTAGAAGTTCCATTAGCCCCGTTGATGCTTGGGTAATTGAAGTCTCCCATTACCACAACATTACCCTGTTTCCCCGCTATTTCTATTTGGGATTGTAAGTGGGCCTCCTCCTCTTCCCCCTATATTTGGAGGTTTACAACAGACACCCACAATAAGTTTACGGTTAGGGTTCGTTCTATCTAGTTCTAGCCATAACGATTTCACATCATCTCCACCAGCTGACGCGATATCGTCACGGATGTGCATAATGCGGTTATTTTTAGCATATATACATACCCCCCCTTCTTGACAGCCTGTACATCCTGACAATTGTGCCGGGATCCACCCAGCTGCGTGACTGACAGCTGGCTCTGCCTATCTAGAGGCAGAGCCAGCTGTACCCGCCCCCTCCCCCATCCGTTCCGCCAGTCAGTGCTGGCGGATCGGAGCGGGGAGGGGGGAATCCAGCCCCTCCCCTGTCACGGCAGAGAGCCGTGACAGGATCGAGAGGTGAGCGAACGCCGGTATGTGTTTGCTCACCTCCTGATCTACTGAGCCGACCTGTGACAGTCTCATTGTCACAGGTCGGCTAGAACTATGAGGTGAGTGAAAAGCACTCACCTCATAGTTCTCCTTTAACATAACTTCAAGGTCTTCTATTGTATTTGCTAGACTTATAGCATTGGTGAACATACATTTAATTTTTGTACATTTACTGGTTAAACGTTTGATCCCCACCTGCTCCCCAGTACGGCTTTTATATCTCCCTTTTATGGTTGGTCCAGTCCTACTTTGGTTACCCTGGGCAATTGGATTTACTTTACTGGCTGCATCTTGTATGCTTTCTGTATTTGCTTGATTTACTACTTTTACTATGTCTACTATGTCGACTCTGTTGACTGGAGTGAGCTCACTATCTAATCCTCTGTTTTTTCCTTCTATGTTATCTGTCATGGTACGTTGTTTGGTGTTTGTTTTTTTTGTTTTTAATTTTATTTTGCCCTCCCCCCCATTATCTAGTTTAAAAGCTCCTCCAGTATTTTAACCATTTTCCCCCCCAGAAATGCTGCACCTTCCCCATTAAGGTGCAGCCCGCCTCGGCTGAAGAGCCGGTAACTGACTGAGAAGTCAGCTAACTAATGTAGTGTAAGTGGTGCTGCATATGTGAGAAAGTGATTGCAGTGCATAGCAGACTAGCTTTGGGCCTGTACCTTTTAATACTTACATTTGGTTTTCTTTTCAGAATTTGATTTACATGACATCACTTTGGTAACTTTCTTGTATGCTGTCCTACAAACAGGCTACAGAAATGGAAAGACAATTGTCGCTGCAGGTCATTGTGCTACAGCAGGAGTTCCGTGAGAAGAGTATGTCTACAAGTCAACACATTTCACGGCTGGAGAATCTCCTTGCAGAGGTCAGCTAATATTGATATAAATGATAGCATTGACTAAAGCAAAGCTGGTTACCTGTAACCTAATTTAATTTATTGTATTTGTGTTTCTGTTTTAATTGTAACTTAACTGAACCTGTAGGGTAATGTGTGAGTTTTCTCTGCTGCTACATTTATGAAAGATAAGGGCTCCAGGACTTTTCTCATGATCCCAGTTCACTACCTAGTGAATCCCTGACCTGGAACAAGCCTGCAGAGTGGGCGGTTAGAGTTTATTAGACATCACTGGCTGCACGCTTGTAATAGGTCATTGTCTCAATAGGCATGGTAGGCAGGATTAGTGTAACAGCCCTGGACCTTGCAACTTTAAATACAGAAGAGGGCAGGTGACTTAGTCCACCATAACTGAAATATCAATTTTTAGACTTTCTCCTAAACATATAGGCAGCAGCAACATAAACTCTTACAAACTTCCACTGTGGTATGTAACTGCAATTTCAGTTAGGTAACTATGCAGGTGAAACTCGAATAATTAGAATATCATGCAAAAGTTAATTTATTTCACTAATGCAACTTAAAAGGTGAAACTAATATATGAGATAGATTCATTACATGCAAAGCAAGTTCAAGCTCTGATTTGTCATAATTGTGATGATAATGGCTTACAGCTCATGAAAACCCCAAATCCACAATCTCAGAAAATTAGAATATTGTGAAAAGGTGCAATATTCTAGGCTCAAAGTGTCCCACTCGAATCAGCTAATTAAGCCATAACACCTGCAAAGGTATTTCCATGCCACGCCGCATTGAGGCAGTAATTGTTGCAAAAGGGGCCCAAACCAAGTACGGAGTACATATGCATGCTTATACTTTTCAGAGGTCCGATATTGATTGCATTTAATATTCGAATTTTCTGAGATTGTGGATTTGGGGTTTTCATGAGCTGTAAGCCATAATCATCACAATTATGACAAATCACAGCTTGAACTATCTTGCTTTGCATGTAATGAGTCTATCTCATATATTAGTTTCACCTTTTAAGTTGCATTAGTGAAATAAATGAACTTTTGCACGATATTCTAATTATTCGAGTTTCACCTGTATAATGTTTATTCATTTGGTGATGTCAGTAATATGATCACACACTTGGAACAATCCTGGTCATATAAGGAGAAAAAATGTGAAAAATTCATATCCAAATACCTTTCCCTTCCTGACTTATCTCCGTGGCATCACAGTAACTGTTTACTCCGGTAGAAGAGGGGCGTTCACTCACCCAAGTGCTCCGATACTTACCTCCGATACCGGAGCGTCCGGTCAGATGGAGATATCTCTATGACTGGCAGTGCTGAGGGAGCATGGAGCTGGTACTCGATACCAAAAAAACGTTGCATTCCTAAAATTACGGTAAGTATTTGGATATGAATGTTATGTTTTCCTGGCATCACAGTAGACAAAGAATGGGAGAATGTTTGAGTATTTTAAACCGAAGAGTTAACCAAGAGAACTTCCTGTCCAAGCTTCACTGTGGTAAGAGATGACAAGTCAATGGTGTAGAAAAAAAGCCCAAAAAACATGTGCGCGGAGGACCAAGAAGTCGCTCGCAAATGGTCTCTGTTGCCACCGGTCAAGAGGCTGCACAGGAAGCCGAAATACTGTGTAGAGTGTGTGGTTGCCTTCCCTAGCCCGGGCCCTGGGAGGCTAATTCCAAGGCTGGGGGGGGGGGCACTGACTGTAGGAGTCCGGACCCCAGCAACGTCGATTCGGTAGCAGAGGAGCTTGGGCCCCAGTAGCACCAGTCCGGAGGCTGAGTAAGCCGGGGCCCAGCAGGTAAGAGGAGCCACGTGACCAGCCCACCTTAGACCCTGCAGAACCCACCATAGAGAGTCTTAGATGGGCTGTGCAGGATCTATGGTGGGCTCTGCCGGGTCACTCACAGTGAATGCCTAATAATCATTTCATTCAATAAAGCTGACAGCTTCTATCTGTATTATGACAATATATGCGCTTCTTTCCTGCAGCATTAATTTATTCATAGAATCTTTTCTGTACTGTGTGAAGTGAGGTCATGAAAAAGTAGAGACGCATAGAAGAACCAGCCTCATGAGCACCTTCAATGCAGTACAATTATTGGGTCTCCATCAGAGCAGCCTGGAGATGTTTTCTAGAATAGATTTTAGATTTGACAGATGGCTAATATTGACAGTTTTATTGATTGTAGTCAGGGAGCTTCACACAACCAGCACACATATTGACTATTCCATTGTAACGCTGGGTACACTGCCATCAATAACCTTTCTAGGAAGGGCATGTATTCCACAACTAAATAAATTAAGTACATATATGCATTTAAATGTCATGATTACTCCTAAGGTCATTAGAGTGAAAACACATTAGTCAGGAGATTATTTTATAGGGCTGGATTTCTGTCCCTGGGACTATAGGGAAGACAACCTTTTCTGCTAAAGCAATACCCCTGCACTAAATGCTTAACACAAAATATTTTTTATTTTACTATTGCTAACCTGGCTTAGAATAATCTCTCAATGTAAAAATCTGTATATTAGATGACTGTATTGGTGCTGATGTTGGGGGAAAATACACGGCTGATAACCTGGAAAGGCCACCTCTTTGCCTCTCCTGTCTATAGGCTCCGGCTAGTTAACCCAAAACATATATTAAACCCTGTTCATAGATTAAATGTTAAACTTTTTATATAAATTGTGGGATGTAACGGTTTTCAAATTTTTATGTTAAAGATGTTACTCATCTTAACTTGATTTGCTGGTATCTTTTGTCCTCTTAGATGCCTTTTCCTGTTGAAGCAAAACCCATGTTAAATGTGATCCCTAAGCTAACACTCCCATGATCATGGTTTCATCAGCATAGCAATGTGGTCATGATGAATACCAAACATAAAGTATATTTGAGGAAAAATCACTGATCTTAGATATGCCCCACTGACCTCAAACTTTACCTGCCCTTTTGGGATGGCCTTTTTAGAACATAGACTCTGGGGCTTCCAATTTCTTAGACTTCCCAGTGGAAACCTTTCTAATGACCCTGACCTTAACCGCAGTTTTACAACATGAGAGAAGCTGATAGGGTGGCTGTTATTTGTCACTACCAAGGCTACTATATAACACTGGTTGATGCAGTTTTAGACCAGAGAAGAGTATTTTGAACCTCATATATATTGAAACTGAAGAAAAAATGTAGAGGTGCACTGAAATAAAAATGTCAAAACGGATCAGCCTCCTGTAACAGTTTCTCTCCTCCCCGCAGTGGGCACAGAGCAGCACCCAGCAGGGAGGAGAGAAAGCAGAGATACGCCGCTATTTCGGCCGAAAGATGGCACTCTCAGCATTTTGCCAGGAGTGCCATTTTTGGCCGATATGTTTCAGAGGCCAAAACTTCAATGCATCTCTAAAAAAATGTAACCTAACCACAATACATTTTTTATTACTGCTGTTGCATATGCATATACTATCACATCACCTAAACCCTTGGAAGACCTATAAAGCAAAAGCCTGTTTAGGAATAAGAATTGGGTTGCCATCCAACAACTTGCCAGCCACATTATCACTAAAAATGCAGAGAATATATTTACTTGCTTCTATGGTGTTGCTGATGAAAAACGCTGCAGAATTTCATAAGCCAGTGACAGAGCAATGTCTCACTTATCTGGGCAGGGAGGGGGGGTAACAACATGGAGGTGGGTACTTGTTTTCACTACACTGTGCAGTGAGCCTGTTGCTAGTGAGTTGTCACCAGTGACAGGATCACAAGTGTCATGTGGCTCTTAGTAAAATCACTCTGTTACTTTCTGAATTCCTGTTACTGCTTCATGATTCAGCTTAGTGCTTTCAAGGTTATCTCCCTTCAAACTGAATTCAGATGATGATGCTTTACTATCCAAGAAGCTGAAGGTGTAGAGGTGACACAGGAGCCTGAAATATAATATCAGAAAGATAAATGTCACATATTTGGCAGGCCCATTCACACCACATCCAGATCGTCTCCAGACCAGACAAGATTGTTTCCAGACCCCAGATGCATCCTAATGTATCCCTATGCTATTTCTGGCCTCTGTTCACACCAGCGCAGTCCGTTCCAGACCACAAAAATACTGCATGTCTCATTTTGTCTGCTCTTGAATGCACTGGAACCGCGGGCAGGTTCACACAATTTTCCAGTACAGATCTGGTTCGGAAAATGATGTGAACCTAAGAGCAGGTTCACACAATTTTCCGGACCAGATCTGGGATGCAGTGCATTGCGTTTTTACTGCGATTTTGCTGCGTTTGGAATTTTTTTTTTTTT